TTGAGGGTGTGGATTTGTTACATAGTGAAGCAAAACTCAGACCCAGGCTGCTTTTCCATGCAGGAGGATCAAGGGATGTAATTATCAAAGCAGTGGGTATTGTGTAAAGTCAGCCTGTCATGCTCTGTGACTTCTCAGCTTAGTAGGTTTAAGGCCCTCTGCCTTTTTTTTTTTTTTTTTAAAGGGAAGAGCATTTCTAGAAACGGGTAAGGGGAACCTGGTGAAATTGACTGAGAGGTGATTGGCAGGGAAACGAAGTTGGAGGGATTGTGGCATGGCTTGTGGGTGAGAAGGCTTTGAAAAATAAACTGGTTTTCCAGAGGTTGCCCAACCACCTCCCTATCTCTCATAAGAGACAAGTGTTGAATAATAGTTCCTGGTTAGGTGAGCTTTTATAGGTGAGAGCATGTTTCAGGTATAAATATCTAGGATATTTATAATCTGTGTATTTTGAATTGGATTCTTAAAAACTGTTTCATTTATATGAATGTTCTACTTACTTTCTTCTGTGTGCTTTTAAGCATTTCAAATTCAGCTCAGAGAGGAATATCAACCAGTTATCTCTACCCAAATCATATTTTTCTATTCATAGATGGAAAAGATCCAATTTTTAGAATGCTTGTATGCATTTTGGGGTGTGACAATGTATTTTGTACAATATATAGGGCAACTATTTGGCAGTGGATCCTGTTATATTTTTCGCAACTGACATTATTATTATAGAATTGTAACCTGAAGATTTATATTTATTTTAGAAAAGAGCTTTACTTTAACTTGTAAGGTTAAGGGCTTGCAATTTGAAAGCTGAGGATACATTTATTTAAAACTTAAGCACTCTGCAGTGTCAATAATTAACAGGACAAGTTAATAGGATCAAGGGCACATTTGACATTTTTAGATAAAAAAATTCAATAACACCCTGGAAGTAAACAAACTAGGTTTGTAACTTTTTAATCTTATGAAATACAAATATAAAATAGAGTAAAACATTACTTCGGCTCATTAAGGTGCGCCTAGTATTATTTAGCAAAAGATAAACCTGACATCTAATGTCTTGACATCGCCTTTCCATAATTTAAAGCACTGTATATGTATTGGATAGTACCCCTAATTAGTATATCTTTGGAGAGCTATAGGTTGGATTAGAGCAGTGATTAATTCCACTGGATAGGAATATGTATTACCAAAATTGTAACTCCTATGTTATATGGGTGTGGGAATGTGCAGCTGAGATATTATTTCGATTTGAAACTTGAAATATATCTTTCTTTCTTTCTGAATCTTCTTTATTTTCTGTTGAACGTGATAATTAGTTAGAAATGGAGATCTGTTTAAAATAGATTGGCATGTTTTTGTAAAAGAGTGCTGCTTAGAAATGCAAAAAAATTAGTACCTTTTCTGTAGCAGTGCCTGCCCTCTGGAGTGAAGTTCTCCCTGAGGTTTAAATGTGCACGCACGTGTGTGCGCGCGCGCACACACACACACACACACATCCCTCAAGTTTCAAAGGGCCCTAAAGACCTGGCTCTTTGCCCAGGCCTTTGTTGAGCATAATCGAACCCCCTTTTCTTCTTTTTCTTTGTTCCCATGAAGGTTTGTTATCTCTGCCATCTTTGACCTTGTTCTGTTTTGGACTTTTTTGTGTGTGTTTTAATTTTTTTAACCATTGGTAAACAGCCCAGACACTAGGAGTTGAGTGGTATTGGAACTTAATTATTAATTTATAATAAGTAATGGATTACTCCTAAGGACTACTGAATAAGACTAAACAAGACAGATAAGCTACTATTAGAAAAGATTTCCATTGAATAATGTAACTTTTTCATTTATCTTGTAAGTTGATCAATATTTATGGAATCATAAATATTTATGATTTTATTCAGATGACTTCAAACCTGCATCAATTGATACATCTTGTGAAGGAAACCTTGAAGTTGGTAAAGGTGAACAGGTAACAGTAATGTTGCCAAATATTGAGGTAAGATGTTTGTGTTCCTTAAAAAGGCATAGCTATATCTTAAGTCTGATTACTTTTATGTAAGTGCATGAAGAATATAATTCTCAAGGTAGATCATGCAGATGGGTTAGGATTAGGGTTCTGTGTTCTGCAACTGGTACTGGTTGCATGTGAGACAATAAGTAGCAGGAAAATCCTTGTGTTGATTCCTGCATTCTTCTACCAGTTTAGAAGTATCTTTGTAATAGCTGCACAAAAGTGATTCATGCTGACAGAATAAAAGATCTGAAGTAGATATATAAGAATGTAAATACCGTATATACTCGAGTATAAGCCGAGTTTTTCAGCCCATTTTTTGTGCTGAAAACCCCCCCCCTCGGCTTATACTCGAGTCAGATTCCCCTCTGAAAAAAAAATGGTGTGGAGCTCCGGAGCTGGGCAGGCGCTTCCCTGCTTCCGTGTTTCCTTTGCAACTTTTAAGCATGGGGGTAATCGGAAGCAGAAAAATTCTTGCATGAGGATATATTTTTTCTTTTTTTAACTGTTTTTAGGGGGAGGGAAAGACCCACCGTCATGTGAGAATGCTCAGACACGAAATCTATCCGCCCGAAAATAAGTGTGTGTGTGGGGGGGAATTTTAACAGAGGGAAGATGTAGGGAGAAGGCAAAAGCGACGGAAGATCCTTCAGGGGAAACTGAGGGGGAGACTCACCCTTGGTCCAGATGAGCCCCCTTCCCCGCCCCTAAGGAAGCAGAGGCAGCCAGCAAGGGCAGGCAAGCCCCACTTCACGGACTCCATCCGTCCTCGCTCCCACCCACCTACCCACCCAAAGCCACGAAGTCCCCCAATCGCGCAGCCCAGAATCGCCCTCCCCTCAGGGGGCAGCAACGACGCCCGGTTTTTCCCGAGACAAGAAGCTCCGCCGTGCAATGAAAGCGCCCTGGCTCTAGGCTCGCGGGCTCAGAAAACAACGCGAGCCGAGGTCGCTTCAGCTCCGCTCGGCTTCTCCAACATCCGGCGCCGCCCTGTTCTATGTGCCGGGCCCGGCAAGTCCGAGCAGCCAGCGCGTGGAGCAGGGCGGTGCCGGAGATCATTGGCTGCCTCTTTCGCAGCACGGGAGGCCTCCCCCGGCTGGCCAGCTGCTCTCCTCCTTCTCTGCCTGTTTGTTCTGTGTGGCCGAGGAGGAGGAGACCGGCCGGCTGGTTGGGGGAGGCTTTCTGCGTCGAGGGAGGCGGCTGCTGGTCTCCGGCTTTGCTTCGCTTCTCTGATGGTCCGGCGCCGCCATGTTCTTTACTTGGGCAGCCGGGCGCCCGCAGCGGCGCCCACGGCGGCAACAGGCAGTTTCGCCCGGGCTCCGCTCAGGTGTCCGGCTGGGGCTGTCGGGAGTTGCTGCCGCCGGTGCGGCCCCAGTCCCGCGTCGCCTCGGGAAGGGAAAGGCAAAAAGGAAGAGCCGCGGCAGCGCTTTGCAACGGCAGGTTCCTTTTTGCCTTTCCCTTCCCGAGGCGACGCGGGACTGGGGCCGCACCGGCGGCAGCAACTCCCGACAGCCCCAGCCGGACACCTGAGCGGAGCCCGGGCGAAACTGCCTAAAAAAAAAGCCACCGTGGGCGCCGCTGCGGGCGCCCAGCTGCCCAAGTAAAGAACATGGTGCCGGACCATCGGAGAAGCGGAGCAAAACCGGAGACCAGCAGCCGCCTCCCTCGACGCAGAAAGCCTCCCCCAACCAGCCGGCCGGTCTCCTCCTCCTCGGCCACACAGAACAAACAGGCAGAGAAGGAGGAGAGCAGCTGGCCAGCCGGGGGAGGCCTCCCGTGCTGTGAAAGGGGCAGCCAACGATCTCCGGCACCGCCCTGCTCCACGCGCTGGCTGCTCGGACTTGCTGGGCCCGGCACATAGAACAGGGCGGCGCCGGATGTTGGAGAAGCTGAGCGGAGCCGAAGCGACCTCGGCTCGCGTTGTTTTCTGAGCCCGCGAGCCTAGAGCCAGGGCGCTTTCATTGCACAGCGGAGCTTCTTGTCTCGGGAAAAACCAGGCGTCGTTGCTGCCCCCTGAGGGGAGGGCGATTCTGGGCTGCGCGATTGGGGGACTTCGTGGCTTTGGGTGGGTGGGTGGGTGGGAGCGAGGACGGACGGAGTCCGTGAAGTGGGGCTTGCCTGCCCTTGCTGGCTGCCTCTGCTTCCTTAGGGGCGGGGAAGGGGGCTCATCTGGACCAAGGGTGAGTCTCCCCCTCAGTTTCCCCTGAAGGATCTTCCTTCGTTTTTGCCTTCTCCCTACATCTCTGCTCAGGTGTCCGGTTGGGGCTGTCGGGAGTTGCTGCCGCCGGTGCGGCTCCGGTCCCGCGTTGCCTTGGGAAGGGTGGAGCAAAACCAGGAGCCGCTGAGCCTGAGCCTCCGGTGCCGCTGCTGCCGTTGCAAGGCGCTGCCGTGGCTCTTCCTTTTTGCCTTTCCCTTCCCGAGGCGACGCGGGACTGGGGCCGCGCCGGCGGTAGCGACTCCTGACTCAGGGGGCCTCCGAGGGGAGGGGAAGTGAGTGACTCCTGCCTCTCGCTGTCATCATCATCTTCTTCTTTTGGGTTAGTGAATCAATTAAACCTTTCATGATAGTGAGATCGTTTCCCAAATTAATTATTTTTATTTTTGAAATTTACCAGTAGCTGCTGCATTTCCCACCCTCGGCTTATACTCGAGTCAATAAATTTTCCCAGTTTTTTTGTGGTAAAATTAGGTGCCTCGGCTTATATTCGGGTCGACTTATACTCGAGTATATACGGTAACTCCTAATACAAAATAAATACATAAGTTCTTTCTATTTTCACCAAATTTCTATTTCTGAATCTGATCCTGAGATTCAGAATCTATATTGATGTATTTAAAAGCCAACTTTTTTATTTTAATGTATATGACTTCTCATTTCTGATTAGACAAGCTCCCCCATGGTTTGCAGCTTTTGCTAATGTCTTTTACTGAAAAAATTATTCAGTATTTTTGGAATATTTTTTCTTTTCTTTTTTCTTTTTTCTTTCTCAGTTTCTAATGGATCTTTTCTCTGATTCATTCTCTAGCCAAGAACAATACTTTTTCCTTTATTTTCCTTATTTTTTTTTAGTGTGATTCCATTGCTCTGATGTGCAAAGCAACTTTTACTACTTTTTTTTATAAGCCAGAAACCTTCAATTAGACAGTCTAATTAAGGAAAGGTGCTGTGGCAAATTGTGCAATTCTTGTTCCCTACCAGTCAAAACCTCTCAAAAAGCAGGCAATTTTGTGTTACCTAATTCTCCTAACTTGTTCCTCTTCATATGTCAAGAACAAACATTACTTACATTTCTCCTTGTTAAGTGTGGAGTTTCCTGGTTTGTTTGGCCACACCTGATAGGATGAACCAAGTGGGAAAGACCAGATAGCAGGCACAATATGATATGATAAATGAGAATATTTGTAGCTCAAGGGGCTTGGTACTTATGATGTTACCTAGTTTGGGTAATGAACTGTCTGCAAGAAAACAGCCAAGCTCAGAGAGAACCAAAGACCCCGCACTACATGATATGATTTGTGTTATTTGTGACATATGAAAGAGGCTGAAATTGATTTAATGAGAACATATAACACTCCCTTTGATGAGGGAGATTCATCTTCAATTCTGTTAAGATATTAAAATATTTTCAGTAAACAGTCAATTAGAAAACCCACATAGTTACTCTTCTGTGATAGAACAGAACTGTAAAATTGCTGTTTGTAATCTTGAAGCAAACTAGTATTTTCAAAAGTTGTTTGTTGCACTATAATTTTGATAAAAAATTCAACAGTAAAAAAAAGAAATGGAGTAATTCAGGGCAGTAATGGCTTGCTGATGCAAACATAAACTTCTTTTTTCATAACTGGGATGGATGTTAATTAAGATGGAATGAAATCCTTTGTGGTTATATGATAAACAAAGGGTAGGAATTAATTGAGCTGGGCTGGACTGAAATCAGTATTGTGTGCAAAACCTGAAAATTGTAATTTCATTATGAAACATGAATCTTAAGATTGGTTTCCCTTTTCAGTTTTATAATGAAATAGAGACTTGAGGCTATGTGTGAAATTTGAGGGCTTTTTATTATAAAACATAGAGCTCTGCCCTAAGAGAGAAAAAAACTTGTAGTGATACTAGTAATTCTTTTTTTATTTAAAATAGGGCTCTACTCCACCAGTAACAGTTTTCAAGGGTTCCAAGAAGCCATATCAAAAAGAATGCATCTTAATAATTAACCATGACACTGGCGAATGTAGACTAGAGAAACTTAGTAGCAATATCACAGTGAAGAAAACAAGGTGGGTAGAAAAAATAGCCAAGTTGTTCCTTCTTAAAATGTGACAGTTGCTTTGGGATAAAAGTTCTGATAAGCCTTAGCTTTATATGTGTTCCCTTCCCTTATCATTTTCCAGCATAAGTAGGAAGTGCAATGCGAAAGCTGTCTCTTCTGCTTGGATTTTAATATCAATCATAGCTTGTGATTCAGATGTAAATTTAAACTATGATTAATTGAAACAAAACTGTTATGCCAAACAGAGAAGAGAGTATGGAGGTTCAAAGCTCTTCTAATTTTCTTTCTGTTGTACTCTATTGCATGTTCATATCACTTGTATAGTGGCTATTGAAATATACGGTATTTTGGATGATTTCAATGGGAAATGGGATTTTTAAAAAGTTCTATTCTGTCTCCGGTCAATTCCTATTTGCTTTCTTTAACTTTATTTCTTAGCATGCTCTATCTCTTTAATGTTGTATACTGGAACTAATTTAACTATTTTCCTGTAGAATAAGCAAGTTTAGATTTGTTTATTTTAATAAAAACTTCAGCACATGTTCATGAAATAACTAGGCTGTAACAACTGTATTATGGTAGGAGATATTATATTTATCCACATCTCAGACATTCGTGTATTTTGTATATTCTTTAAAAAGTGTTCAAAAAGCAAACTACTGCATATTTTTCAATAATTATTTTAATGATCTGATTGATGCAGAGGTGAAGGCAGCAGCAAGGTGCAGTCTCGTATTGAGCACCACCAGCAGCAGTTAATGAAACACACTAATAAGATGCCAAACAACCACAAATCTTCTCCACCAAAAGAAAAGGTCTCTCCACCTTCTCCTATGGATGATATTGAAAGAGGTAAATTATAGCTATATTCCTTGAGACACTGATTGTGGAGTGTCTCTGTAACTTGAAGGCTTTGAGATCGAAGTTTTTTGCTTAAATTGTCCTTGAGAAGGTACGTTGGTCCAGGTGGGGTAGCAGCTTCAGATTCAGCTGGGATTCATATGATTACGTATTCACAACTGATACCCTGACTGTATGCAGAATAATATATAATGTGGGAAGGTTTTTAATTATTTTTTGATTCAATTTTCTGACTGGTTAGGTTTACTGGTGTGTAGTGGAAGATGTTATATAACTATATAACTATATATAGATTTATTGCCTATGTTTAGCTGTGATCTAGACATACTTATCTAATGCTCATCCATCCTCTAATGAATTCACTATAGTAAAATTTGCTCCCTCATCTGAACTGCAATGCTCACCTCATAAAAACATATCCATGTGTTTTGAATGGGTGGGTGTTTGGAGGGGGGGCGGAGAGAGAGAGAGAGATTAGAGATGGATATTCATGCCTCCTGTTTGGATTAAAATTCATTAATCTATAATTATTGTCCATCGCTCCAAAGGTTATGAGAGCTATAGTACAGGGTTTTTTATTATTACTTCTGGTACTGCACTGGTTGCAATAGACCAGGGGTCGCCAACCTTTTGGACCTCAGGGACCACCAAACTCATAATTTTAAATCCCAGGAACCACTAACTGGTTCTGTGGGCATAGCCTAATTTGTGGGTGTGGCTTGGTGGTCATGTGACTGGCTGGGCATGGCTTATATGTAAATATTATAAATATTTATATAAATATATTTTTATAAAAAAGAGCAACATCTACCCAAAATCAGGCAAAGCAGGCAGACAGATTGAGTTGCTCACAGAATCACAAATTCATTCAGAGATCAATCTATCTGCCATCAGCTAGCTCAGTCTGTCACATAAAATTTGCTTGCAAGCAAACTCACAAAATTAACTCACAACACACCATGTATGGAAATATTGAAATTTTTATATAAAAAGGAGCAACTTTTACCCAAAACCAGGCAAAGCAGACAGGCAGATTGAGTTGCTCACAGAATCATTCAGGATCTATCTATCTGCCATCAGCTATCTGAGTCTGTCACAAAAAAATTGCTTGTCGTGAGTCTGCACTGAATAATAGAACCTTCAGTCCTAAGGGAGGTTTGGCTGTGCTTAAAAGCAGAGCTGAAGATCTAAAGATGAGCTAGAAAGCAAGAAATCCAACCATTTTCTGCTTCCTAGCTAATCTAAATCTCCTGGCACAGCAGGACAGCTGATGGTTGGAAAAAGGAAAAATAGCAATTTAGCAGGCAAGTTTGCCGGGTGAGGAATGAGTGGATGGGGAGGGTTCCTGTGGGCCATGTGGGCAGCGCAGTCTTGTATTTCTGCACAGCCTGGATTAATTGCTTTGTGGGGGTGTTCTGGGGGTGAGATTTCTCTGCAGCCCACCAAAATTTTCTTGCGGCCCACCAGTTGGGGAGCGCTGCAGTAGACCATATGCCAGCCTTCCCATTGATCCTTGATTCTTGCCAGCAATAAAAATAAGTATGGTGTGGTATAATAATACAAAATCTCATTCTACACTAAACAGATATGTAATCGAGTTGCTGTCTGTCTGTCACCTGGATTCTTTAGTCATGCTGATCCTGTTTATATATTCTCTTGGTCACTATCCTCATTCTTTACATTTTTTGATAAGTCTCTAATTTCTTTTTTTAATTATTATTAAATTTGTCTGCCATTCATCTTGCTTTGAAGTGACTCCGGGAGGCTCACAACATTAAAAGCAATCAAACCATAAAAGATCAATATTTCTAAAAGCAATAAAAATAGAATTAGAATCCAAGTGAAGTTGTAGTTAACAGATGTGGGGTGAGGGAGCAGGATGCACTTGGAGGGGGAGAGGGGTTTTTCCTCTTAATTCATCAATCACCTCCAGTGTGATACTCTCCTGTTGCAGCCCCAAGCCATTTGCCACATCCAGGTCTTCAGGCTGTTATAGAAAGTCAGAAGGGTGAAAGCCGATTTCGGGTCTGGGTGGGGTAAGATGTTTCAAAAGGCAGGAGCCACGTCAGAGAAGGGACCCCCCAGTCCAAATTCCCCGATCTTCTCCTGGACCCCCCAGCCCAAATTCCCCGATTGATGGAGAGGAAGCAGCTTATCCCCTTTGCTGGCATAGGCGTGGCGAGCCAATCCCATTGAAAGTTTTCCCCTTCTATTAGATTATGGTTTTATTTTCACTAAGATTTTGCATAGATACGCATGCGGTTGTCTAGATTTCAGGTACTATTGTCTGTGGATGCTGCTATTCAACAAAATTTGGGTCGTACTGAATTTTGATCTTTTGAATAGGTTGGAAGTGATGCCATTTTTTCCCCCTTCCATTAGTAACAGTAGGAATGTCATACTTAGTTTACATACTATGTAAAGTAGAATAAGCTTCCAGCTAAAAACTGTGGCAGATGACTAGGAAGAATTTGGTTGCGTGGTAAATTAATGTTAAAAAAAATAGTAGCTTCTTGTACTGATGGCCAGGGCATTCTTCTCAGCATAGCCCTTGAATACCCAGGGGCAGAGGGGGGGAAAGCATACAGGCAGGTGTTTCTTTTGTGACTCAACTCTGACTGGAAAATCTTGTCATTTAGTTTCCCGAATAGCTGCTTAAAAAAAGTACCCACTTGCTGCAGGGTAGGGTGTTTAAGATTACATTAAAATGGAGAGTTTCTTTTCTAAGGTTGAATGTTTTGTTTAAGATTTTTTTTCCTGAGTCACACAGTTCCGAAGTGGTTGCCCAGCATTCTGCCAACCTGACAATTACCCAGCAGGGAAGGACCTTCCAGGAGTGGGGTGGGGTGTAGTGTGGTGGATAGGAATGGCAAGAGATTTGTTTTGCGTTGCCAGTTGGATGGCTAGTACTGTTCAGGGCATACGTGAAATGGACTCCATTTAATAAAATCAGACATGCAGAAAAGTATTCTTTAATGAATTAAAAATTAAACTGGAAGGCAACCTGACAAAAACTGCCTAAACTAAATTAAAGGCTGTGTAGACATGCAGAATTCAAGATCTCTTGTTGCTAATGCTGAACTGTTTGGTGCTGATCATGAAAGCTTTGGTGAGACTAGATAGATAGATAGATAGATAGATAGATAGATAGATAGATAGATAGATAGATAGATAGACAGACAGACAGACAGACAGACAGACAGACAGACAGACAGATTGTCATAGAGAAAAGAATGAATGCCTCTGGTCCTTCTCCAATCAGTTTTACTCTTTGATATTAAAGGAATAATTGTGAGGTTTTAGTTTCCTTTAAGCCCTAAAGTCAGAATGGGGATTTAACCCAGCCATTGTTATGAAGGAAGGTTTAACATAGTTTGCCTAGAATCTTGAGTGAGGTTGGCAGTGCCCAAAGCTCATCAGCAAATCCCATACAGTATAATACTGCCGTTGCTTTAGGTTCATTTGAAGTAGCACAGTTTAGACTGGCTTTGCCTCAAGATTGAAAATGCTGCATGGCAAATAGTATTTCAAACATTAGCTACAGCCAGAATAAGAGTTGTATAGAATTGCTGGGCTATATGGGGGAACTGCTGAAAATCTTGGCTTGCTTGGTTTTGATACAGAAGTAGTAGTTTTTGAATTCCAAAATGCAAATATAATTATTAAAATAATCAATACAGTTTTGATTAGAATACCAATTGGTCTCCATCTGTCAAGATATATTGGCTGATGGTGTCTGGAAGAAGAGCCTTTTCTGCTGTGGTCCCTGATCTTGCCACCAGAGGTGAGATCTGCCACCATCCTCTCGGCCAATCAGAAGGGCCTTAAAACTTGGTTCTGTGGGTTGGTGTGGGGCCCTGATAGGTTGCTCCATGCTGGGAGTGGTTGGTGGAATAACAGGAGATTCTATCTCTCTGTACTGTTTGTGCAACTGATTTTTAGTCTTTATCTAATTCTGGTTAATTTTAATGTTTTTATAATTTTGATTTTATTCTGTTGTAAACTGCCCACAGTGACTTTTATAGCAAGCAGTATATATAGTTAATAAGTAAATAAATTTAAAAAATGTAAGAGGTGCATTTAAAAAAAAGAAGAAAATAACATTTCTTTAGACTACAGATTAGTTTCAGTGACATATGGAGAACATAAGTAAGTCATTTAAATGCTGACATACCTGATTTTAAGTTGATGCATTTGTTTTATATAATGCTATTTTATTACTTTATTGAATGTTATGGTGTATTATGTTTCTGTTGTCTGATATCCCAAAGTGAAAGGTCAACTAAATATGCTATTAACAAATTATGGTATAAGTGCATTCTTATAAGCTTTGGAACCTGTGAATCAATCATCTTTACTTTGCTACATGCTTAATGACTGAATCAATTTGATCTATGAAGCCTGCTCAGAATATTATTGCTAACCTAGAATAGAGTTTTATTTGCTACTGTGTCATCCTGTCAAAAGTTGATCTACAGTGAACATATGATCAGCAGGATTTATTTATCCCAGGTCAATTTGGCCCTTCCCAATGCAAATAGATCTAAGAATATCAGCTGTAACTGTTAGTCATTTGATTAAACTCTAATAATTGTTGCCTAATAAGCTATAGAGGGATGAGAAGTTTTGCTATGTTGCTTCTGCTGCTATCATTTTAAAAAACAACGATGAAGCAGGTTTATTCATACATATTTTGTATTTGCTCCTCAGGGCTCTACATCAATATTTAAGATTGCTCAAATAAAGAGAGGTTTGAAGACCCTTTGCCAGGTTTTTTTCCCCAAGAGCATTTGTGAATAATCAGTATCAGTTTTGTGCAGAGGCCAGGATTGAAATTAATTATTGAAGAGTCTCCTTAAGCAAAAACATAAAACATATTGAGCTCTGCTTCAAAAAGCCATCTTATATAGTTGGAGTTTTTCTTCCTTTTTCAGAACTGATATTTTCTCTTTTTATCTATTTTTTCTTTGAGTAGAGATTTCAGCTTTGGGAGCATCTGATCCAATTCTAACCTCTGTACCACATAATTAATAATTTCCCATCAGGTTTGTGAACTGAATGTTGTGATTATGTTTGCCTTTGTCTTTAATTCTCCCCCCCCCTTTTTTTACATCATATCTTTCAGAGCTAAAAGCAGAAGCTAAAATCATAGAGCAAATGAGCAGCTCTGATAGTTCATCGGAATCAAAAAGTTCATCTGCTTCATCAAGTAGTGAAAACAGCTCTAGTGATTCAGAAGAAGAAGGATCAAAGCTATCGCTTCCCTTGTCAATGCCACACCTGCAGCCACCGCATCCCATGATGACAGTATCACAACAGGCATTCCCAGATGTGGAGATTGGATATCGCAGAAGTCAAGAGAGCAGTGGCCGTTTGATGAATACGCTGAGTAAGTCATGAAACAAAGCATGCTATGATAGACTTGGGCATGAGGAAACCACATGCTGTTAGTTACAACTTTCCAGGCACAGATTTAAGTTAGACAGCAGCAGTTTGAATTAGAAGGTGGGGTAAAAGTTACACTGACCTCTCATTATGCCAGATTAAAGATTATGGTAAAAACAATTCAGCACAGATCTACGACTGGTTTCGGGACTTAGGGTTTTAAAACAATTTTATCTAGAAGCATTCATAAATTCCAGAAATGATCTCTGCAGTATAGTTCACATTTCACTGCAGTAAAATGGTTATCTCCAGGGCTGCTTTCCTAAGAACTGATTTGTGTATAGGACATGACATTTTTGCCTTTTATCTTATAACAAACAAGTTATACTCCTGTTTACTAGTCAATCGCAGCCTTTATCACAACCTAAAGCAAAGCAGATAGAT